ATCATAATTCTGAGCCTTCTGATACCGGTGAAAACCTTTTTGGTGTACAGTGGGGAAAATATTTATTTGATCCCCTGCTGAATTTGTAAGTTTGCCCACTTACAAAGAAATGAAGGGTCTGTAATTTTTATGGGAAACCCTTGTTGGCAAGCACAGAGGTAAGATATTTCTTGTAGTTGGTCACCAGGTTTGCACACATCTCAGGAGGGATTTTGGTCCACTCCTCTTTACAAATCCTCTCTAAATCATTAAGGTTTCTTAGCGGTCTCTTGGAAACTCTAAATTTCATCTCCCTCCACAGATTTTCTGTAGGATTAAGGTCTGGAGACTGGCTAGGCCACTCCATTGCTTTGTTGTCTTGGTGGTATGTTTCGGGTCACTGTCATGCTGGAAGACCCATCCATGACCCATCTTCAGTGTTCTGGCTGAGGGAAGGAGGTTCTCGTCCAAGATTTTACAGTACATGGCCCCGTCCATTTGCCCCTCAATGCGGAAGTCGTCCTGTACCCTTAACAGAAAAACAGCCCCAAAGCTCATTGTCATGCTGGAAGACCCATCCATGACCCATCTTCAGTGTTCTGGCTGAGGGAAGGAGGTTCTTGTCCAAGATTACAGTACACATGGCCCCGTCCATTTGCCCCTCAATGCGGAAGTCGTCCTGTACCCTTAACAGAAAAACAGCCCCAAAGCAATATGTTTCCACCTCCGTGCTTGACTGTAGGGATGGTGTTCTTGGGGTCATAGTCAGCATTTCTCTCCCTCCAAACATCTCACCAAGCTTCTTGCTGATGGTCTTGTAGCCCATTCCAGCTTTGTGCAGATCTACAATCTTGTCTCTGACATCCTTTGACAGCTCTTTGGTCTTGCCCATGGTGGTGGGAGAGGTTGGAATGGAAGATACAGATTGTACAGGTATCTTATACACCTAACGAGCTGACATTAGGAGTAACTTCTTAAAGTGACAGGACTAATCTTTGTTCCACATGGGCACATAACCAGTCTGTGGGAGCCAGAATTCTTGTTGGTTGGTAGGGGATCAAATACTTATTTCACTCACTGAAATGCAAATCAATTTCTAACCTTTATATAATGTGTTTTTTTTCTGGATTTTTTGGTTGATATTCTGTCTCTATCCATTAAAATAAACCTACCATGAAAATTACATTTTTTTGTAAGTGGGCAAACTTACAAAATCAGCAGGGGATCAAATAAATATTTCCCCCACTGTATGTAGTGCTCAGTGTGAATGAGAGCATAAAATAAATGTTGAGCAGGGCAAAACTGTGTAACTACATAAAAGAAAATCATAATCTTTGTCTCGGAGGGGGAAATATTTTCACTCTTGAATGTAGTATTTTGCAAATAGTTCTCAATTCCCCTTGATTAAAATGACTCTGGTCAACTGTAAGTAATGTTTTTATTTGCCACTGATAGTTATTGGCCAATTAGTTAATTAGTTAGAAATGTGTAGGGTAACACTGATGGGAGTGGTTAAAGGAAGTAAATATGACATGACAATTTATTCTGTGGAGCTGCCAGGGAACAGCTTCTTTCTGTATTAGCATCTTCCAACCAGCAGAAGGGGCTAGAGCCACAGTACAGACACAAACCATCAGTTCTGGCATAACCATCAGTATTTTGCCTTGGGCTACAGATTTTAATGTTAATGACTGATCCTAAATTTTGAATTTCTCATTTTATCTACATTTCTATGAATGGCAACTCAATTGTATTGATTTCTGTTATTATTTGAAATGGTCCTAAACTTCCATTACCAATTAAATTTTTTTTAAAACGTGCTTTGTTCATTGTGTCTATTATAATGTGATAAAATCTAAATCTTTTGGTTGTATCTGGTAACACATTCTGAGACTTCCGTCATCCCTGCCTTAAAACTGTATTTGTTTCACTTTATTAGCCTATAAGAGATTTATTTATTTGCCTCTACATCTTCATGAAAGTGTTGATTATCATAAATTGGAATGACAGTCATAAATTAGGTTGTTACTATAGAGTAGGCCTACTGTATAGTGGTACACCCTCATTACATTGGCAAGTGTTGATTACGCTGAATATGCACATAATGTCAGGGTGACACTGACAGATCTGAAAAAGTAAAGTGTATAAACAGGCACAATTTTCAAAGGCTTTTTTCATATTTTATATTTTATGCAAGTAAATATGTTTAGTGAGTGTACATCTAGGTCTGGAAATATAAAATATATCAAAATCTAAATCAAATTAGGCTACACTGGTTTGAAATTTACCAATCAATAAGCTGTGATACAACCAGTGATAGAGAATGCATTGAATATTTTTCTGAGAAAATAGGATTTATCTAATCTACTTTATTTAGTTTTTAACAAATATGTCATATCATGTCTGTTTTCCAAAATTGTCTTAACATACTCAAATTTAGTATTTGTAATATTTAATTGACGCAAGAATGTTCATCACACATATTTACAGAATCATAACGTTTCAACAATATGCCTATTAGTTACATATGCCTACATATTATTTTTATTGTTGTTATTATTAATAATATCTTACATTGATGCACAATGTTGAAGGCACGTCCGTTTAGATGCCGCTAGGGGGCTCCAGTAGTCCTTATTAATATGACCATATGTAATATGTAATATGTACGGGTGGGCTGCAGCCCAAATAAACGGAGGCACATACACCAACAAAGCTGTTTGAGGTACAATGAAACATGTTTTGTTGGATCTTAATATTTCGGAGTCTGGTACTGAAATAAATATGAGATGGGAGGAAAATTATATTTTATATTTATATATTTTCCCTCCCATCTTATATTTCCATATGCTATTACCATATACACTTAAGGGCTCCTTACAATATTAAAGTCTATAGAGTTGTCTTATTAAGAAAATGAACAATCTCGCGCTTTTTAAAATTTCAACACAAAACGTAACGGGTTTTAATTAAATATTGTCATAAAACTTTTGTTGCACTGTCCAGAAATGCTATGTTTCCAAAGCTATTAACTCAAGCACCGACTGCACATGTTTTGCTATTTTCAGTGACATATGATATTGCGGAGTGAGGATGTTGGCAATTTAATGTCATAAGGGATGATATTATGTTTTTTTCCCCCTTTGTACGTAAAAGTTACAATAAACATAATTAAAAAATAGTGCTAATTGCGAACGCCTTGTTATCTAAAACAGACGTAAAGTTTGACTGTAAATGTTGTTCACTTTGATGCAAGTAAATATTCGTAAATCTAATACCAACATCAGAATGGTGTTTTTAAAAGTATTTTATGTTAACAAATGGAAAAAATACTCCCAAATCTAGCAATCTTTGCTGTATGTGATAAACAATCTAATTATGTTCCTTTCAAATTATGCCCAAAGAGAGCCTATACACTGCATCGCAGAAGATTTCAACTGACTGTATTTAACTCGGTCGTTCTGAATGATGCAAGCTCTCGCGGAGGGATATCAGCCATGGCGACACATTTTGTCATCTGTCTGGCGATAAATAAAATGGAGTCGGAAATCGCCTTTAAAGTCTTTCCCTCTGTCAGCCATGTTGGCTCGAAACGAACTGTCATAATGATGTCTAGAGAGTAGAGACCATAGAGACATATGATGCGGGCCCACCTTGATCCAAAATGTCGTCAGCGGCGTGAGTTAAGGACGTAACAGACTTTATCCCTCGCCTGATATCTGTGACGCTGTTGCGGCGGAGCGTCAGAGCTCGAGCTCGGAGCGCCAGCGGCGGGAGAGAAGTCGTCGCTTCTCCTGCTGCTATTTAAGCACACTGCGTAGGGTTGCAGCAGGTAAGACTATTTTATCATGTTAAACTGCATTTCGATATGTTGCGCGTTATACTTGTTAGTAATGCTCCCCAGGTCCGATTTGAATTGAAAGCTAATGTTTTAGGCCGTCTTGTCAAGTATTACAAACGCCTGTAGCCAAGGCAAATCAGCCGCGCCTCCTCCCCGGTTTAGCTACAACGGTGCACTAGCATAGCTTAGCGCTACCTCGTACTGTTTGGATAATTAACGCCCATTTTCCTGTTTAGACGTGCTTGCTTTTGAATTTATTGCACGAAGCACGCGTATGGACCGTTTTATAGCGGTTGTTGAGAAGCAAAAATATTTACGTTGGCTGTAGTTTTCGAGGAAGTGATAAACCGGGACTAGCGTTTCACTCTGTGGCGTAAAATGGTGTCCGAGTTAGCCAGGCAACGACACTGTATGAGCGGTCATCTGTTTACATTTCTACTGCGTCAGTATGGCACTGTAGACGACAATAATGTTTATTGTGCGCACTGAGTAAAGCTAAATCGTGCGTTTCATAACATGAAAATTAGGTTTATTACGCATTGTAGGGGAATCGCTTCACACGAATCATTTTGTAACTTCAGGCTGGATATGGAGCAGAGCGGCAGCTCTACTTTGCGCATAATTATTATATTTTGCACTTTTCTCAGTATAGTTGAGCCGAACAACATTAATGTTAGCTGAATCATGCTGAGTAAGGGGAAAGTGGTTTGTGGTTCGTCTGCTGCGCGCATAGACAGTGGCCTGTAGAGAGCAATCTTTATTGAAACAAACTGTCTTTATTATTCATAATTTCATTATTTTGTCGTGCAGCGTAATATAATGATAGAAAGTTACAAAGTTCGTGACTTGAGTAAACGGGTTTCTGGTCGCTGGCTTGTGTCAGGTGATAGTTAGCTCGTAGCTAGTCAGCTGGCCTATCATTCCGCCGTTCTCCTGTCATTGGCAAACAATGCGAACTATTTTGATGATGTTAAAACATTTTTAAGCAGACGTATTGAGACATCGGTGGCGGTGTCGCCTTCAGGTGGTCGTTTAATACAGAACTGCAATTTATTGTAAGGCTTGTATTCTAACGTGATTAACTTAAGCCATGTGAAGGGGCAAACGTCAAGGGCATAGTATTTCTGTTTTTCCTATACTAGTGTTTCCTACGCAAGTTTACAATAAGTTACGAATGCAAATGAAAGAAAAGTGCATGATCTTAATTAGTTCTGCAGAATATGTTGGTGCGCAATCTTGTCGAGTTTTTAAACCGTTTTAAAGAGGTACTGCTGCGCCCATTTTAGCGGATTAAAGTCATTATGAGAGAGAAATATCACGGCCTTGATGAAAGATCAGTTAATGTATGTTTCTGGTCAGTGACAGTAAATGAAAGCTAATACACTCAGCACGCACTGTAATATGACGAGGAATGACGACAGAAGATGGGCGTGGCGGACTTCTGCTGGACCTACAGTATGAACAGTTTTCAGTTTCAACTTTTGAGTGGAAACAAATGTTTTGTCTACTCCAACAGGACAAACTGCTTATGTCAGACAGGGAGAAAGGGTTTTTAAGATTTCCTGTTTCTTTTTCTAATATTCAGCAGTAACATATCCAAGCTTGATTTTCTGCATTTGAAAAAAAAGGCAATGCTCTACTGTAAATGCGCATAGATAATTATGGGGCTTGGGATTTTCATAGGCATGTAGTATTTTCCTTATTCATCGAAAGCTGTCCTAAAAAACATGCATGTCTGTGCACCTACTAACCGTTTATAAGTTATAAACATTGTTTAACGTTGATTTGTAAGGCATATTAGCATTTGATCATTGTCACGAAACGCTCACTGTACAGTGTCATGACATGTTAGGACCTGTTTCTTTGAAATTATCTTTGAAACTCATGCATTGTCTTGCATAACAAGAACTGCAGAAACAAGTCATAATTATGGTAGCATTCCAGGCATGCTCATACCTTGGTTAATGTCAAAAGGGGTTCATCTAGAAATCGTCATCGTCTTATGCTTATGTTGTTAGTTCTTTAGTTGAACACAAAAAAAAGATATAAAATATAGAGGTGTTGCCATGAGAGCATGTTACTTCCGTCTTACAGTTTCCTCTTTCTGGTCTCATTAAAAATCATTGGTAAATCTTCACAGTAAACGCATTAAAAGAACTGTTGTAATGTTGGCGTTAATTGTGAGCTCAGGTTCAGTGTGCTTTTGTCTTGCTGTCTCCTTCGAGGACATATTTTCTATAGGAAATGCTTTGTTTATTGTATGGAACATTAAGTTTGTTTTTGAAGACATGAATCAGAAGACAAACATATTCAGGAACAGAAGGATAAAATGAGATTCACACACGATGATTAACAAACAGAACTCTCCTCAGTGTTCATTTGTAGAATCACATGCATTTATTTGTGGACCACTTCTTGTGATTTGAACCCTTTAGGTGTGACTGTGTTCATAATATAACAGCCTCTCATACCTTTCTGCTTAATTGTAACTGGTTTTGATTCCAACTGCATTGAATTCTGCATGGTATTCATACCAAACCATATTAAGCCTCACCTTAAAAACAATGCCGACTAATCCTGAAACATTGTTGCTGGAGCACTTGTAGTAGTTATACAGGGTGCCAGGAGCTGGAATACAAACTTACTTTTGTTTTCCTTTTCCAAAACCAAATCTTGTGTGTGCAACAGATTGTTACTTGTCGAACCTAGATGATTTGACAAATGAGCTTAAACATCGGTAAGGACACAGTTGTTGCAAGGTAAATTTAATCATGTTTGATAATTAGTGTACATACTGGTTAGGTCATAGTAGTGTTTTACTGACTTTTATTTTTATTAGCAAACCTCTCTGGGGTTTTTTTTCCCCTCCTGATTTCATGTTTTGGATGTAGCCTTCAGTGGCATACAGGACACTTTTGGTGAAAGTTACTAGAATGAAATGTTATTATACAATGCTTGCACGTATTGTAAGTTGTAGCATATGCCTATTATTATTATTATTATTATATGATTACTAACACAGGGTGTTACTACTAAAATCAGAGTCATGGAATTATAGAAGTAAATTATAGTTACAGAATGAGGCAAACTTTGATATGAATGTTTTTTTTTTCTGTCTTGTATCTCATTTTATTCATCAGTGGAGGTGTTCGACATGCTCAGCTCCAGCATGCACTAGAAATGCCAGCATGAAAGTCATTACAGTTTTGCAGTAATTCAATAATAAAAACTTTTAGTTTTTTAACATTTTCGTCAACAAGTTTAACCAGTCAACCAGTTTAACTGCTTAAAGAAAATCACATTTTTTAAATGTCTCAATATCCACACGCATTACTTATGTATTTTCTTTAATTCTTTGGTACACTTAATTTCAGTGTACTTTCATAAACCAGATTAGGCCTGCCTTTAGCTTTAGTTTGAAAGCACTTTAAAATGCTTTGCATTTCAGACCACTAATTATTTCAAGGTCTTGTCTTCATCAGTTGTGTGGTCTAAATTGGTTTGTGGGGATTTGAGCCAGTTGCCAGCTGAAGTGCCAACCAATCCTTGGTTTGCAGTGATGATTGTTAAAGGTCTTTCCTAAAAGGATATCTTTAAAGATTATGGATTATCAAGACTTTCAGTTGCAATTGCTCTAGGGCAAAAACAATATTAAAAACTAAATGCTTCTTGTTGTTGTTTTTTTCCCCTCTCTCAGGTTGAGCCTGGAACCAGCTGTCCTCCAGGATGAACCCTTATGAATGAAAGTGAGCCTGTTCAGTAAGCTGTTAGCTTCCAGTGGTCAAAGCCATGCCTGAAGATTAGAGCCTCGCCTCCTCTTGCTTACAGCAATACGAATATACAGAAGATTCTACATGACTCTTCATGTAGACCTTCCTGTGTTTGTCTTGCTGGATTGAGTCCTTCCTCCCCTACTATAATATCAGCTCTGTCTCTTTCATACCACTCCCTCTTGCACTTTCATGGCCGCTTGGGAACATGCATCTGCATTTGAGAATGGCTCCAACCTAGTCTCATGCGTCCAATGAGTGGAGAGTCTGACGGCCCTGCTCCTGAAAGAGTCTCGCGGGCCCTGTCAGGCCCTGTGTCCTCCTCAGAGATGTCCTCACTGCACTCACTAGGGCCAGTGCAGAGCTGGCTGGGTCAGGAGCTGGAGAAATGTGGCATAGATGCCATGATCTACACCCGCTATGTCCTTAGCCTGCTACTGCACGACAGCTATGACTATGACCTGCAGGACCAGGTATAGTTAAAATGTTTCAGCACATCTGGAAAACCTTTTGTGTTTTAAGTGACTTGTTTCTGTACAAATCTAACAAAACATCTTAAAAAGGAGTTCACCACCCAAAGCTTTAAGTGTTCTATGTCATAAGTCATACGATACATTTGTTTTTAATGTAAACCAACTTTAGTGATTCTTAAAGAAAAAAAGTGTCTTGCATGTTAGGTTCGATCAATTAAAACATAAAGCATTTAGGTAATATATTTTGTGTTTAGTAGTAATTCAGGTCTCTCAGTATTCATTTTATTGCATTTAGTAGTAACTAACATTTATTTTGATACTCAGCAATTATTCAGATTTCATAAAGACCACTACATTTTATTTTATCAGATGTGAATCCACAAACTTCTGTGGAATAAGGCTATGAAAATATAGTGCTTTATCTGTGTAGATTATGGTATTCTTGTTTAGGACTTCTTTGCTTCTTTTTGCACTTTAGAGATGGTAGACTAAAGCAACAGGTTTCAAGTAGTGTTCTTTTATCTTCTTCAGAGTAGTTTATTTGGCAGTAATTGCATCTTAGCAGACATTTGTGCACAGTTTCTGTACATTTATACTAAAGAATCAACACCTGGTCCTCCTTGTGCGCAGGAAAATGACATCTTCCTGGGCTGGGAGAAGGGAACAGGGAAGAAATGGGGGAAGAGCAAGAGGAAGGGAGGGACTGACCTTAGTCTTGAAGAGATGAAGAAACAAGCTGCTGTGCAATGTTTGCGTTCAGCATCTGATGAAGTAAGACCTTTGTCTAAAGCTAAAGTTTTTAAATCAGTGTGTTATATAATTTATTTATTTTTTCCCCCACAACCATTTTCACTGCTAAATTGCAATTAGTGTACTTTTGTGAGTGAGTTTGTTGTGGAATTAGTAGAGCAAAAATTGGTTAAATGGTCAAGAATATCTCTCCTCATTAAGACAAATATGTCAATCAGAACTTGAGTAATGTGGCTACATCTCAGATCCATGTTTTCTTTTCTTTTCTTTTTTTTTGAAAATCATTGATGTGCTTTGCTTTTTCCTCAAAGCCTTTTACAGTGATTATGCTTATTTCTGTCAAAAAATAAATCACCAGAACTAGTTCAGATGTACTCAGCAAAATAGATATTATTCAGTTGATGTTTAATATGGTTACTCTTTTAATCTTGTGTATATTTGGTGCTTTTTAATCAAAGGGAGTTCAAATTTCATATTTAATACCAAGTTTTTGAAGAAAACAATTAATTCTTGTTGCAGTGATGGAGCTATGATTCTATTTTCTGTTAAAGGGGTCATATGATGCTGCTAAAAATAACATTATTTTGTGTATTTGGTGTAATGAAATGTGTTTATGTGGTTTAAAGTTCAAAAAACACATTTTCCACATACTGTACATTATTGTTTCTCCTCTATGCCCCGCCTTTTTGAAACGCGTCGATTTTTACAAAGCTCATCGGTCTGAAAAAGCGAGGAAAATCGCAAGTTAAATTACTTTTGTTCTCTTTCAGAATTCTGGAATTGAAAGCTTGGTCGAAGAGCTATGCTCTAAGCTCAAGGATATTCAAAACAAACAGAAAGGTGTGCATATTTTCTATGTAATGCAGGTTGAGCAAAAATTGCATTGTCTTGCAGCTGTAATAGTTTTATGGAAATACTTCAATTATATTGCTTTGCTATTATTGTCTTACAGAAAAAGAAAAGCAAGTAAATAAAAAATCTGATATATCTCAGTCTCCTGAACCAGATGAATCATTTTCTTCTAAGGACCAGGTTGAGATGTAAGTAATTACACCTTATAGTCTTTAATGTAATAATGTGGGTTGTTGTACAGGTAGGGTTATGATCTCTATGTAATTAATTAGAGCAATGAGCCTCGTATTTTAATGTGGCTTTTACTAAACTGGAAAAGCCTATGATTAAATAAATAGTCGTGCTGCATGCCGCAGTGTTTTGTTTTGAGAGTCTAGTGAGTGTTCTTGCTAGGGCTGGGCGATACAGCAAAAAATATTATCACAATATTTTTTTCCATATCATAAAAGATTGATATTTAATTTATCCCATTAATGTTCATTTACCATTAATGAGAAAGGAAGTGCTTTCCACACGTTTTTAAACCTTGAAAATTAATGTTAACATAACTTGATTGTTTAATACAGAAATGGTGTCAAATGTAATGACTTAATAAAACTTTTAAAATGTAATCAATCTTTTGAAATGTAATCGAATTAAAATATAACAATTAGTTTACAACAAAACATCACATTTTTATTTTTTGTCAAGTAAAATGCTACACAACATAAGATGCTTATCTCTTATCTTCATCTCAGAGCATCTCTGGAGATGAAGTTCATATGTTTATGTCCTTATATATTGAGACGGAGATGCTGAAAACACTGAGCGTCACATGTGTTTGAGTTTGTATAGTATACGAAGCCGTGCCATTCATTCAAAGAGACACTCGGTACGTGCAGACTTATTAGCTACGTGCACTGACTGGCACGTTTATTTCTGTTGTGTGATAGGCTGTGTGATATTAAGTAAAAACGTCCTGAGCTTATCATCATCAACACAAATTTTATCATGATTTCATTATGATATTATCATCCAGCCCTAGTTCTTGCCTAACATAATAAACCGAGATGAGAAAAAAATGCAACAATTTTTGTGCTTGTTATTTGGTTGCAGCAAAAATATAATAGCAAATTATATTATCCCAAATAGCAACTTGAAGATGACCTTATGCTGTATTTGCTAGGGGTGCTCCGATCTGGATTTTTGAGACCGATTACAGAAAGCAGTATCTGCCGATACGATCACCGATACCGATCTTTTTAAAGCCTTCTTTTTATCATGTAGAATTATTTATAGTGATGATCCAATCAAGATTTTTAGACATTTATTCAGGGCCTGAATTTCATTTTTGAAAATGAATTCCCCTCTTAGGTGACTCTTGTGAGAGGGGATTTTTTAATTCGAGGGGTGGAGGGGGGCCTTTTTTAGATATTTTTCAAAAATTATATATTTATCTCACTTAAATGTTTGATCATGCACTGTATTTTTGTTTTGACAATCGTGCAATTGTTACACAATAGCTTACACACAGCACAAGCCTGATTTCGTGAGCTGTATGTGAGGCGGCCTTTTACTCCAGGTTCACACATACTCTGTTTGCAGTGCGTATGCAGTCCATGTGCGGTACCTAAGTGGTGCAGAAGCAGCACGGACTCTCGTGCTTTCACACAGGAGTCTGCAACTGATCTGTGGCTGTTTACTATAAACACAACATTTATCCATTATTTTTTCAAATCCAAACATTTTTACTTTAAATGTTTTTTTTATTTTTTATTGCTTTTTCAGCATCGTGATTATTTTTTTTACACCGTATTGTATAATACAATCTTTCATAGATGTGTTTAAAAGAAATAAATATAAGAAACACATTATTCAATGCTTTTTACTTTTGCATTTACTTCTATATTTATATATTAAGTTGCTCAAGCAAGTGGCAAAACATTTTAAAGGGGTCATATGATGTCGTTAAAAGGAACATTATTTTGTGTATTTGGTGTAATGAAATGTTTATGCGGTTTAAGGTTCAAAAAACACATTATTTTCCACATACTGTACATTATTGTTTCTCCTCTATGCCCCGCCTTTCTGAAACGCGTCGATTTTTACAAAGCTCATCGTTCTGAAAAGCGAGGTGTGCTCTGATTGGCCAGCTGTCCAGTGCGTTGTGATTAGCCGAATACCTCAAGCGTGTGACGGAAATGTTACGCCCCTTACCATATTGTGATGCCCTGTCCGGCCGGAGCGACGAGACAAAAACATTAAAACCCATTATAAACGAGGCATTTGTTGCATCCAGTGGGGACATAATTACGGATTATAATGACTTAAACTGTCTTTTTACGCGTTGCGTTGCATCGCGCCGCGTAAACATAAAACCATGTCTGCATTTGTGATCGGAGAAATGACAAAAAACAAGCGTTACTCTACACTGCTCAAAACTCGCGTTTGAATCATCAGTGGCAAATCTTTTAAATATGACAACGTACTTACAGACTGTGAATCAGAACAGCCTGCATTGTTGTCTACTCTACCAGGATCAGGAAACAGTCCTCCATAAAATGCGCTGCACACATCTGAATATTTGGGTTGAACTGTTCTTGGAACAGTGTTGTAAATTAACCACTGATTTCTAGTCGTGTCCTCTTTTGGAAGGCCAAACAAAGTAGTTTCGCTTTC